GCTGGCACTGGTTCAACTGCTGGCACTGGTTCAACTGCTGGCACTGGTTCAACTGCTGGCACTGGTTCAACTGCTGGCACTGGCTCAACTGCTGGCACTGGTTCAACTGCTGGCACTGGTTCAACTGCCGCTTCTGTTTCAACACTTTCAACAGCCGCCTCAATTTCATCTTAAGCTCGCTAGAATATTCTCTTTCCTGGACATTCCAATATGGCTTTTCGATTCAGCATTCACTTTTTAGCTATAAAATTATTTACCGAGCCTTTTCATAGAAATTAAGTAATTTATTGTTTTATCCCATTCAACGTGAAAATAAATATATAATTTAAATGCAAATAATTTTCATAGTATTTTGGTATTTCGATTTAATTCAAAAATGATAAAGATTCTCTCAAATAAATTGATTGCAAATCTTCTAAGGACGAATTTTAAAACAAGACTTCAAATTTCGAATTTCTTTAAATTTTTACCGAAAAAGTGGGAAAAATGGTAAATTTGTTATAAAAGTCACTGTTGAAATATATCACATTTTGAGACGAGCAAAAATGCTTTGCTCTGGGTTAAGAGTTTCAAGTAGTCATAAATTTCAAGAAATCGCAAGTGGAATCGGTAGTGAAGAAAATTTGGTATTTTATGCCCTGGATTTAAAATACCATTCTTTATATGTTTGCTACCCATAAATAAATAAACTAACAAGACTTTTCCTCAATTTATAATTCTACATAAAATTTTAAAGTCGTTTCAACCAAATCTCGAGCGTATGCAATTGTAGTAGTCATTTGTGATGAAAATCATCGATTTTAATGATTTTGTATGGATTCCATTTATGAAATTATATTCCATATATAATCCGATAACTGTATTCAGTCTTTGTATCATGTATAGATATTAATATTGGTTAAAGTATGCGTAAAACTGTTGAATGGTTCGAATGGAAAATGGCTACTGCTAATTAACTTTGTCAAAATGGACCGTAAAAAATTGATTGATCTCTTTTATTCTAAATATGATTATCGTAATCAAATTGCGTCAAGACTACTCTCCAATGGAAATGTGAAAGAATTTCTCATAATTGTGACTGATTGAAGTGTCGATTATAATTTCGCTCCAAACACTCATCATATATAATAATAAATGCGAAAACGTTAATCTATCTTACACAACCATATTTTTTTTTGCATTTCTATTCGAAAAAGTGCGAGAACTGTTGTTATTGAACAAAAGCAAATAGTGAACATGCATGCTGTGTTTGATCATGTCGGTTTATTCTCATCAATTTTATTGTTTGTTTAGCCTGAAAAGTGACCGTTTGTTGTTACAGCAACTGTCTTGGTTTTAATGTCGATATGGTCATTTCTGAATAATAATTAGTGCAAATAAATCAATCAAGATGTGATTAGCAATTTGACGTGCTCACCGCATAAGCTTCATCGCAAACGAAAAGAAAAATCATTTGCTTAATTTCTGTTTGCTCAACGTATTCGGAATTTAATGATGATTGAATGCATAACGGATTGATGTCAGTGTGTTGTTCAAGTAAAGATGACAAGCAAAAGCGAATATCTGATCTATGAAAGCATGTGTTTGACACAAAGTAGATGGTTGATTGATAAACAAATTGAGATTATGAAACATCCATGTGTCGCTCCATACTTGCATTTTGTATTGAAAAATAGCATTTGTCACAGTTCATCTCATTATTCGGTTCTAATTAGAATACAAATCATGTGATACAGATTTTATGACGAAAAGCAAGTGGCACTCATTAGGCGCTTTTTGTTTAAAATTCGAATATTTATTATTGCGTCGTTCACATATTTCTTTTTCACCAGCATGTTATGTGTCGTTGCTAGCGACAAAGATATCTCTTTATGACTTTAGTTTATTGTTGAATTTCCGAACAATTTTTGAAGGCGATTTTAAATGCGTACGCTACTTGTAGTATGGGGAAACGCTATTTTTACTGTATTCACCATATATGTGAATTGTGAATGAATTTGTTTTAATGGCAAACGATTTTCCAAAATCAGCAGTTAAATGAATGCCACCGAAATAATATCATTGTGATAACTCCCACTCTGTCACTTCTGTTCGCTAAAGCAACCGGAATCACATCATTCAATCGGTTTGAATGTGAATTAACAGACATCAACACGCTCAAAACAAGATAGAGACAGACAGAAAGAGAAATGAGAGAGAGAAAGATAGATCAACAACATCATCATCATCAGCACATGTACAAAAACACAAAAGCCAATGTAATTTATATATCTGCCGTCGCATATAAAATCGTTTAATAGAAAATTTCACAAACGACGACGAATAATCGTGTTCGTGCACAAATTTGCAAAAGATTATGTTTATTATGGATGAAATTGCCCCCTGAACGACAACGACAACGACGACGACGACGACTTTTGCGCGCATTCGAAAAATAAATGAGCATTAAATGCTTGTTTGATAATAATGAAAGCATGCAAAAACCAACCCGATCAAATGCGAATAGGCAACGAATGAATTTCAAATGCGTACAAATCTATGCAATACACGTTCGCATACACACACATTAACCGGTCACAATTTGTGCGAAAGCAACAGTGCGGCCGTTATATTTCGAATGATATGAGTTTATTCGGCGGCTCGTGAATTTGTTGAGAAAACGAGATTTTTTGACTCTTTTATTTTCGCACAAATTATTGTCTGTGTTTCGAATAAAACTCGGCACATTAAATCGTCCGACGCAACACAATGGCAAAAAGCGATAAAGCAATGCAATGAATTGAAACGACCCTTTTTTCCCTTATTTTCTCTCTCCCTTTGGAGTTGAGTCTATCACAATTCGCTTGCACTCTCTACTTAAGATGAATAGATATATCGTTTTTTTGTTGTTGTTGGGAAAATGTTAAAATAGTGACGGCACCACTTCGACTCCCCCGACCGAAAGTCAAGATGGTAATCTAGTTTTGCTCGATGCATTTGCTACTTCATTTTTTTTTCTTTCTCAAACTAACGATTGTATAATGTTTCTATTGAACTTTGCCGAAATCGAAATGGGAATTGTTATTGTGTGTATCACCCCGAAAACAGTTAAACACAATATAAACAACTTCATGTTCATATAAACTACAAAATCATCAAGCGATTGTTGAATTTAGATAATCTATTTAATTCGTTCGTGTTTTTTTTTTCTATTGTGAAAGTTTGCCCATAATAAACAGTTGTTTTGACCAGAGAATCACATATTCTAAACAATCAAATGTAAGATGAACGAGAGAAAAACGAAGGTAAAAGGAGCCGTCTAAGCCGAACAAAAACTAACGACCGACGATTAATTCTCCAACTGGCTATAAAATAGAAGAAGACCAGTTGTGTTCTTTCTATTTGCTTTTTTTGTCAAGTCACCGTTTTGTGAATGTCGAGCGAAAATTGTAATTTTAGATTTTTTTCCCATTTTGTAAATCGGTCGAATTGATGTGAAAGTGCGAATAAGAGATCGCACCAGATTTTATGTAAAAAATTTGAACAATTTCATGTGGATTCACCATTACTCGGCACAAAAAAATATAAAAGAAATAACGAGAAATTTCGTTGTCATTTCTAATCACATTTTTGTAACTAAACAATTCATTGTTTCATGCCAACCAAAGTGATCAACATCTCATCGCCAGATGAACGGCGTTTTTCGCTCTTTTACGGTATGAAATGAATTTATGAAGTGAACGAACCGAGTGAATGTTTGTTTTGATGCAGAGAAATACCATTAATATACGCGACGCGACTTCATAATCGCCAACAATAACTTGGTGTCTCCTGGTTGTACGGCGGCGACAACGACGAGGATAATGCTGCCTCTTGGCTCTTTATATATAAATGCTTTTCTACTCTACTCTCCATATTTTCATAATAAAATGAAGTGCAACGAGCGATAGAAAAGCCAAACACAAAAAACTTTCAGCGACAGTGTCTTTTCCATAACACGCTACATACATAACTCCCGGCATAGTTGTGTCGTTGTCATCGTCGTCGTCGTTGGCACACAACATACACACGCATCGTATGTCCAATTCGAATAAAAAGTGCTTTCCAAGTGGATGATACATTCTCATGTATGTTTAAGCGAGTTAAGTATTTATGATATTGGGGTGGCGAAACGATATAGCACGCGTACACACAAAAACCTCCGACGCAGCACACATATCATCGTGATGATGGGTCATCCGATCCAATTTTTACCATTATGAAAGTGTATTGTACACAGAGAGTTCATAGCATGCACGTATTTACCAATATATTTATTACACATCCGATTGCCATAAAATGTATGCGAACGCGCACGAGCTCTCTCTGTCTTTTGCTCGGGCTGAATTGCATTGCACTCTTTCGCGAAAGCGACAAAACAACGTTGCGAATATGAATTCACGCCGATGCTACAATGTTTACTTAAAAAAGTGTCATACACGACAATAAACAACATTAATGCGAAAATAAAAATGTTTAATGGATTTTCTCTCTCTCTCACACACACTCTCTCTCTCTGTCCGACACTGTGTATGGCTTTTGCTACCGAAATAAAAAAAATTGCACACACACCATAACTATTTGCTAATGCAAGATATGATGGGAAATTTCAAAATTGCCATTTCCACATTAATATCCTTATTGCGACCCTGAATAGCGCGACGTACAAGCAACACCAAACCAATTCATTTCCATCATGTTTACATTTCAAATTGAATTCAAGGCAAAATAAGAAAAACTGCATAAAAATAATGTTTTTTGAATACGAAACAAAAAAAAAACAACCGTCGCTTAATGTCTCAACGAATCCATGGTTTTTCTATTTATTTCATTGGGACCGATTTCACACATACACTACATGATTTCGGGATTACATTTATTAATATGGAAAATATACACAGTTTTACAGCAAATTGAAGAGGTTTTACGGGTGTTTTGGCCACATTTTTTGAAGAGATTTTCAATGCTAGTTTTTTCAGGTGGGTTTAGCCGACTTATGCAAGTTTTTATGCATTTTCTGACATGAAAAGTTTCGGGACTTTTTGACTTAAGCTTTGCCGGCAATCTTTTTTCAGACGGACTTTTCCAAATTGTTTATTTTTCTTTTGTCTATAAATACAATACCCAACCTCTTAATTCAATGGAAATGACTACAAAACGGGAATTTAAAAATGGAAAAATGCTGTGTCATTGTAATGACTAAATTGAATGTCGATTAATTACGTTGTAAATTGATGCAGATGTGTACTTTAGAATTGGATGTACTCTTCCTCGCTTACTTTTTCGCTTTTTTTTAAATCTCTCTTTGGTTTTATCTCACTTTTTTGCTCTCTTTCACTCCCTCGATCCATCGATATGTCTGAAATCGATTTAAATTAATGACGCGATTCGCTATGTTCGTCTCGTGCAGAAAACCGCCGTTTTTTCTATCTCTATCTCTCTTTTGCCTTTCTCTTTCTTCTTTTCAAAATGTATTTTATTGTTTTCGATTCGATCGTTTTACGCACATTCGATTGATTCAATTTAAAAAGATAATATCTCGAGCTAGTCGTATACTAATTTTAATTTGATTGATAGAGTGATTTTAGCTGTGTTGCACTTTCATTGAACAAAAAAAAATTAAATGTTTTCAATTTGATTCCTTTTATGATATTCATGGTGTATAAAAATGCATTTAAATTGTCAATTGAAATGGAATTTGTTCGATGAATAAAATTGATAACTCTTTTGATGTGAAAACATATAAAAATATCCCTTTCATACTTTGTTGCAAGCAATAAACATTGCTTTTTTGTTCGAGCCAATGAGTGAATGGGAAATAAAATTGGCCATTTGACGAATTATTTTTAAATTGAAAAATGTTTGGAAATGGCTTTTTTTTATTTTGATGACTCTATTGAAAAAAAAAACTTTTACGAACCGGTACGATAAAAAAGTGATGAACACAAAGTGTTTGTCATTCACATGGGATTACTGATATCATTTGTGTCTAATTATTTATTAATTAAGGAAAATGTTTTGAGTGATGGGTTGAAAAAAATGATGTGGCAAAACTTGTGTGGCCCCTCGTAAAATAACTTGTTTCTATCCTTGATTTTGCTTAAACCTCATCACCACTTACCGTTTTCTATTTTATAAACGTCACACTGTAAAGAAAAAAGAGAGGAGAAGAAGAAAATGAAATTAAATTTTAATTGTATGTTTTCATGTGAGTGCGTCAAAAGTGAGTGGTATTTTAGAAAATGGCATTTCGAAGTTTTGTGTGAAATTCAACGGAAATAAACTTAATGGATATAAAATTGCGAACGAAAACGAGAAAGAGATGAAGGAACGAGAGAGAGAGAGAGAGAGAGAGAGAGAGAGAGAATGAAAAACACAGAAAGAGATGTGTGTTTGTTGTTAAAACCCAAGTTTGAATAGAAAGAACAATGTCGTTGCAGAATTATAGCTAAAGCCAGAAAGAAAAACACTTAAAACTCGACAAAACGCATTTTAAACGAACGTATTTGAAATCAAAGCGAGATGCGTATGTACAGTATAATAAAAACCCCAGAGTCGCACAATCAAATTACAATGAATGAGGTGGTTACAAAATGGGAAATAGAGTAAAATACATTGGACGTCGGCGCTGCAATCACAACCGTATAGAATCCGAACATCGACACCAAACGCAAACACTTTTAACCATACAATAGAGCATACAATTTTTTTTGCTCTCTCTTATTTTGTTGAATAGTGAATATTATTTTGTTATGCGTTCTATTAATGGTATGTTGGAAGGGCGGTGGATAAAAAAAGGGAAAGTCGCTCCATTTGATAATTACTCTCCGGCAAAAATTTGAGCGTATGTTTTTTCGATTTGAAAAGAATTAAAACATTCGGCGTTTGTTTTGGTTTATGTCATTGTGTCAGGTTTTTTACGTGGTTGCTCAACCTCTTTCTCTAACTTCGGGAGTACTGTGTTTGTGAGAGTGATATAGCAAAGAGTCCGAACAGTCGGGTTGAAATGTAAGTGAATCTACATTTGGCATGAAGTGAATCTATCTAGGATCATGACCCTTGTAAATTGTTTCAACGGCAGCAACGACACACTAAATTGACAAAATAGGTGTGAGATTAAATTCAGCCTTGCAAATTCAAAGTTTTACCAATTTCGATCTAATTCATGTTTGGCGCGCACACACACATCACATGGGCGAAAATGATGCACCCCATTCCAATGGTTGTACAATGTGAAAATCGAACTAAAACAACATTTCCATCCCCGCATGTATACCATTTTATGAATATAAGACTGCATGTATGTGTCGCCCCTTCTGTCTATTCACTTTAGCCTGCTCAAAAATAAATGAAGGAACATTGCTTGCCACAAAATTCATAATAAGCAAAGCGAACCGAGTATTTGTCTGTATGTATGCTGTAGCATCATGTCAAATGGTAACAAACGCGCACTCATTATAGATTCAGATGTTTAACAAATAGCAAATAAAGAACTCCTGAATACCAACATGATTGCTTCGTATAATCTCATACCATTTCTGTTTATCTCACTTTTTCTCTGTGTGTCTTTCTCGTTTACAAATTGCTCTTTGCATTTTGAGAACAATCTTCGAGTCGATTTAAATAGATAATTTCATGTCAAAGTTCTTGATGCAAGTGTTTCTTAACAACATCGTGGTCCGCCTCCGCTGTCAGGGAACCAAAAATTCTATAACAAACCCACAACAACGGTGAAGCGAAAAAAAAAGAAAGATGAAGATGATGATTACGAACAACAATTGTCTTAAATTGGCGCTTGGTTTTTTTGGGGGAAGGGTGGTAAAATTTCTGTCATTTTTTGAAGTAGACATTGTTTTGGCGCGGGGGAAATTAATTTTAAAGCAACGAATTAAGAGAGTGGAAGATTTTTTTTTGTTTGGTGGGTTGGGTGTATGTAGATTTTAAATTGCATCGAGATGTTTAAATGAGTTGCACGTGTATCAGGTGTATTTCTCACTTTTTACATCAAAATAGAAAATAGTTGAATGTGTCACGCGGAAAAGCGTTCATTTTTATGCCACAAAATGGATGAGTGTGCTTGTGTTCAAAGCGGCTAGAGCATCACTTGATGAGAAACAGCTGCACTTTATCTACGGCACAAAAGTTCATACCGCATCGTTAGATGTGGAAAATTATATTTCAAACTCTCTCATGGCAACTCCTCTCTCCCTCTCTCTCTCTCTCTCTCTCTCTCTCTCTCACTGTTTCACAATTTCGGCGGAATTGTGCCTAGTTTAGTTTCAATTTAATAACACCGCAAACATGGAAATGTATTACCGCTTCGCATTCATTTCACTTATTCATAATACGATCACATGGCAAACTGATGGTATAGCGTGGCAACTTAAAGACCGTTCATAAAACACATTAAAAATTTAAGTAGCAATTTGGTGTTACTTTTTTTGCTCTCTCAGTGTGTGTGTGTGTGTGTGTGTTTGTCTCTGTCTCAATCTCTTGAGCACAAAATAAGTGTGTTTTCTCGTTGTTTGTTTGACAGTGTGGAAAATTGTGCGCGTCATTTTTCAACATAGGCCACCACATATCTCTCTCTCTCGCTAAATACGGTGGGTAAACTTTTCACTTTGAATATGGAATATTCTATTACCAGTGCCGCTACGATAAAATAGTTTGTATTATGAGAAAAACAAAAAGCCTTCAAGCATTAACAAACAACGATGCACTGTGCATGAATGTTGAAATGTGTGTGTGCTTGTGTGTGTATGTATGGTTGCGTGATATGAATCTCCAAACAAATAAATGGCATCAATGGGTGTTTTTGCACACTTTAAACATCCACTTGAAGCAGCAAGAAAGTGGAAGAGCCAGAGAGAGAGAGAGAGAGAGAGAGAGAGAGAGAGAAAGGGAAGGAACGACAGTTGGATATAACGCATAGACATCGAATGTGATCGAGAATGAGAAATGGAAATGTTGAGATATTTGTAATTTATTTAGTTGAAATTGTCAAAACCACACAGTAACTAAACGGAAATTACTTAAACTTCTTGTTTTCCAATTTTGCCAAAAACTAGCGCTCACAAAATGAGCAACAACCGGCTACGGTGGCGGCCAAGCACCACATTTCTCGTTGCTACTTTTGAATTTTACACCGCGCTTGTTATTTCAATTGAAGCTCTCCCTCTCTCTCTCTCTTTCTCTCTATCTCTCTCTCTCTCTCTCTCTCTCTCTCTCTTGTTGCATATTTCTCTCTGGCTCTCTTTTCGAAACTTTTCCGTAAAAGTGAAATTGAAAAAGCATGAAACTTCCCATTCTGCCATTAGGTTCGTCTCTCTTTCTGTCTGTTTCTCTCCGTTTTGCGTCAGGCTGTTTTTGATGCCCAACTCTCAATTGTTTGTCCTGTTATTTACTCAGGCGAAACACATTTACATGCTATTGAATCGAATCTCGAGCATTCTCTGGTCGGATAAGTCAAATACACTCACAAAGTGCCGAATCCCAGCATACTCATTCAATCTTCGTTGCATTATTTAAATGAATTTATTGAATAAATATATGAAAGCGTGTGCACTTTGTGATGCGGTGACGGTAATGTGAAACCATTTTCGACTGTTATTTAATCGTTTTCGTATGGCATTTAATTACCATAAAGTGTGTATGTGTATAAACGCGCCATATTTTTGGTTGTGCCAGCATCACTTGAATCTGTTCTCTTGCAAACAGAAGAAGAAGAAACAAAAAAGCACTTCTGGCATATCATGATTTGGTGCGTGTATACGCTTTTTGAGCAATGTTAACATTTCAATATCTGGCAATATTTTTTCTTCTTCTTCAGTTCTCATTGCGTTCTCGATTAAATTGTTTACTTTTGTGCTAGGCGAAAAAGGATGTGGTTTAGTGGCTTTTGCTACGAAAGCGGCAAAACTTGGCTACGACAACCCAATTAAATTTCAAACGATTTTTGTTTTCACATCTTACTCATCGGCATGACATCACAATAAATAAACAAAAGGCATTGCAAATGAAAAGCAACAACGAAGAGAACGAAAAAGAAAATGAACAAAAAAAAAACCATACACACAACGATGATTTTCATGTATACATCCTTTGTTTGTGTTCATTTAAAGCATATTTTATTTCATTTCAGTGCTTCCCAAACAACGTGCCGGAACAAAAGCATAAACACATACTCTGGCTCCTTTCAGACAGTTTTATGAGCATGAAAACCAAAATGGAAAACAGAGCGACGAAAGTAGGAAAAAACACAAAATTAAACCATATTCAAAGTACATTCAAATTATAAACCGTCTGCTAGAAACTTTCCATCGCCCAATACACGCGCGCGTATGGAGTTGATTATGAATTATGTATTATGGAGTACTCATTTCGCCTTACAGTCGAAAAATATGTCTTTCAATGGACGCATTTTGATTTCTTTCCTCTTGCAGCCTCGAAAGGCCAAATTTTGCAGAAATACCACTTTTTTTCGCGCATTTTCGTGGTCAATTCAAACATGTGTTCACATTGCGTGCCTAATTGTTGTAAACTTTCTTCGTAATTCATCCATTATGGCCTGTGGTAATGTGCCGGGTCGTACACACACACAGACACACAATTTCCATATCAACGGAAAATAGCGAAATTTGTCGCTACTTTTTCTGCTTGTGACAAATGAAACGACACAAAAAACGTCCTTTTGAAGCGGAACACCCACCATAAAAAAAAATGTTTTATAAATTAGTTCGCCAAAAATTCACGGAAATGCTTTGGCCAAAACGGTTATGTCACTTGGAATGAGGAAAATATGGGAATATATAAACACATGCATAAAACCGGTTAATGGGCAATTTTTTTGGTTGTTGTTTATTTTCGGTTTCAGTTGAAACTACCCATTTGAGGCACTTTTCAAGAGAACGGCAAAAGAATGCGCTACGGGAAATTTCACATTATGGAACCCAAAATGCGGTAATAATATATCCAAATATCACTTTGACGATGATATGTCTGCGTGTATGTGCTGAGTGTGTGTGTGTGAGTGTGATATAACCGCGGAACTGAACTCTTTATTTGCATAAACCTCACGTATTGTTGTCGAGTTATATTAAACGCAATCTGATATAGTTTATCAAAATTTACACAGAGCTTGTGGCGG